GGGCCAGCTCTGATGATGTCCATCATTTGATGGACGAAAGCTCAGCACATTTTCACCCGAAACGAGGGAGGAAGTTCCGTGGACTGCGTCAACATGATTATCCTATACAATCCAACCGGCTGCAGTACAACGAGTTTCATCCTTCCTCATTTGGTAAGATCGACCAACCAATCTCTTCTTCATGCACTTTCATACGAAATGAAGGTCCCCCTAACAATGTTGTGATTGTCTTTGCCCAAAATAATCTTTCTTTTCGGCCTGTTTGCTAGTATTATCTAATACAGTTCAAATGGATTTCGAGACTGATAGTCACATTAAATTGTGGGAAAACGCGACTTTCAGTATATACAAAGAAAAGTTGAATATCGGGAAATCTCTTGTTTCATAATTGTCGAGCTTACTCTCATATCGAGTGAAGGTGTGAGATGGAACAATTCAAAGGTCAATAGCATCAGAAGACTGCAGTGGAGTCCTCTTGGTCAGCGCTCTGTCGACTTTACTGGAACATTCTTGTCAACTTTGTCTTCGATGCCATCTTCTCAGATTACAGTGAAAACTTGCTAAGCCTTTGTCCCTCATGACGGATGGTGAGAAATTAAGGAAACCCTACTCTCATACGTATATATAGAAGGCCAATACATGCTGGCTTTATCCTTAATTTCTACTCGAAGCATAGTTATAAAAGAGAGATTGTCGTTTTACAATCTATGGTTATCTGAGCACAAGACTAGCTGATAGAGACCATTGTGATCATGAACTGGATCGGCTCAAACTAATATATTTTTATAATATTTATTTACCAGGTTTGAGTGAAAATAACATCAGATTAATAAAGAATACCTTTTTTAATGGTGAATACGTGAGTTGAGATAAGGAGATCTTTTCCCGTGTTTTGTCTTTGCCTCCGTGCATTCTCTCTAAACAGATAGGCGAACAAGTAAGGAAGTGGGGAAACTACGACACTTTCTTCAGTTATGCTCACTTTTAGGGAGAAAGTTGGCCCATTATCCAGATCGGGTTGCTACAACATGCGTTCGTGTGGTCGCTTTTATGTTCGAGGGATTTGTCCTCCCATTCGACAAAGAGTGACTGAGCACAAAAGCGCCTGCAAAGGCTGTTGGGTTAAAAATCGGAGCTTGCTGAGCACAGGCCAAAAACGGGATACGAGATTGAATGGTCTCAGACTTGACATTTTGCCGATTTTGACATGTTTGCGGCTAAAGAAACATTAGAGAAGTTATAGAAATAAACCGAATAGGGAATACATTGAATGTAAGTTAAGTGGCGTGGTCCAAATTGCCGTCCACCTTGGATAAAAAATAACTTTTGAGAATGCAAGGCCATGTGAAATTTAATAGAAACATCAGCTCTACTCATATAATTGTGGGAAAATTCAACTACCAGTC